GTCGTTCTCCTCCACCGCAGCTCCCACCGCCGGCTGAGCATCAGGTCGTCTTCTTCTCAGGTGGTCTTTCTCCATCTTGGGGCCCAGCGGGGATGCAGCCGGGGCTCGCTCTCTTTCACCAGCACTTTGCGTGCACATCCTGAGGAGGTTGGGGTAATCTCTCTGAAAAAAGGGGTTGTAGTAGAAGAGCAGCTACAAAATGCAAAGGAGAGGAGTCAGTTGCCATCATTTCAAGAAGGAGAAAGCCAGAGATGCGATAACTAAGCGTTTGCATCAGCAAAGACGAACACGGGTATTCAAAAGGACTCTCGGGGGCATTTTAAACCTCCAGTTTGGGCTGACTAAAATGTTCGGCTAGGGTTTTGTTGAGTAAGAACCACCCTTGTGTTTTTGGCATGTGGGAGCCGAGAAGGGTAGGATTTTCAAAAGCCTAAAAACCGACGGAGAAACCCAAATGCTGCCAGTTTTCAGGCCCCTCAGCGTGGAATGGGCATGTCAGGAATAACGCTGATGCTGACGTGTATCTTCTTGTCAGCATTCAGCAGGTGCCACAAGAAGATCTAAATTTTTGGTGCAGCCGGATACAGAGCAAGCACAAAAAAAGCATGATACCATGGGACTATGTTTCCGTTTCACAGATTCAAAGTAAGCAGAAATAACCAAATTCTATTTTATCAGCTTTTCTGCTCCTCCGAAATCCTGCGTCGAGAATTCCCGAAAAGGACCCGCGGGACAAAATCAGGCCATTTGCTCCCATCCCCATCTCCTGCCTTGTAAGGGCTTATTTCATCTGCACGTGAACCTCTCCCCCCGGCATGTCCCGAGGGCTCTTTCGTGTGCGGAGGAGCCGACGTACCTTGCCCAGAGCAGAACCTGCTGCTGCGACTGCTTGCAGCTCCTCGATGGAGGCAGATACGAGAGAATCCCCTTCCATCCTGCAGAAGCCGTGGAGGTTAAGTTGGAGAATGAAGCCTCTCATGGACTCGGTTTCAAAGATCTTCAGGGGTCCCCTCCTCCCCAGCACTTCCTTTCTGAAGAGTTTTTCTGCGATCACGATGCAGTTTCCATCATCGCCCCACCAGATTGACTGGAAGCGATGGCTGCCGACGATATTCCAGAGCTTCTGGAGGAACAGGCGGGCTGAAGACGGCTCGGTGTGGGCAGAGATCTCCTCCCAGAAAGGAGAGCGTACGATGGGGGCCCAAGATCCCTCAGGCAAACCTTGAAAGGCGTTTTCTCCTGGGAGAAGTCCGGCGGCAGCATGCCAAGGTGTTCCCGTATCACCTCCGGGATGGTCAGGAGATGTTGAAGCCGCCCACCAACCTGGCTCCTCTGGGTCGGAAGCCCAGGACGGCCCTGGTGAAGGCGGCTCCATTTTAACTACTACTTTTTTCACAGCTTGGCTGAAACTTCCAGGCACGGCCCTTTCCCTGAGCAGCCAGGCTTGGTCCTGCCGGTCCGCAGGATGAAGGGCTCTGGCGCCAGCTGCCTGGGAAGTTCTCCAATGTCACCGTGACGCCTGTGTTGCATCATGGTGACCTCACAGTGCGGCGCCCGTCTCCTGGCAACAGGAAGCGGAAGACAGAAGAAATTGCTAGAAAGCCCTGTTTTCTTTTCACGGGGAGAGCTGTTTTGAGCATTTTGAGTGAATCCAGCTGTGTCTGCATTTGGTATCTCCTGCTAGGACAGTGCTGCGTCCCGCTGCCCCGGGGAGTTGGTCCCCAGGGAGGGATGGGGAAGGCTGCAGCGTTGGGCATCAAAGTGCCCCAGACCTGAAGTTCTTCCCTTGGGCACCTTCCGCCCATGCAGAAATACCCGTACCCTCTTCTATGGAATAGCCCCTACTCAGTGATTTCGGGAGCGGTGCCTCCATCGTGGCTGTCCACGTACCCAGGCGATGCTCTCAGCGTTCGGCAGGCTCTCCGTGGGACCAAGGCTGTGCCAGGAGGGCCAGCTCTGCTCAACCATAGAGAAGATGGCTTTGGTGGCACTCATCTTCTGGTTGCACTGGTTTTTTGGGGTGCGACAGCAGTGGCTTCAGTGCTGCTGCCATGTCCTTAACGGTGCTCATCTTCCCTCTGCAGAGCTACACCGAGAGCGCTGCCTTCATCGTCACCCTGCACCCGCTGCAGAACACCACCACCGACTTCTGGCGGTTGGTGTATGACTACGGCTGCACCTCCATCCTCATGCTCAACCAGCTCAACCAGTCCAACTCCGCCTGGGTGAGTGCTGCCGCCCCGGGGACTGTGCCGGCCCCGCAGGTGGCCCTGTCCTGCTCTGTCCCCACTGCCTTGGAAGTGCTGCAGCCCCTGCCTTGCTCGCTCAGCTCCCTCTCCTCTGCAAGGGGAGACGGGACTGGCTGCAGCACCAAGGATTTATCCCCTGTGAGCACAGGGCTGGCCAGCTGGAGCCAAAGACACATGGCAGCAGCAAACCAGCCTGGCTTCCTTGCGCTGGCATTGCATTGGCATTGCTCTACGGTACCGTAATCTTTGTGGATGCCCCAGGGAGATACGAGGTTAATGACAAGTATAACCTTGTTACAAAGAACTGATTTTTATCCTCCTTTTACAACGGGGAAACCGAGGCACAGGGGATTTCCCACGTTTTCTTCCAAGGGCACTGGTGGCTTCTGAACGCTGCTTTATAAATCAGCCTGTTGCAAAGCGGCTGTCCCCTGGGTTTTACGGTGTGATGGGATGTGCAGATCTGCTGAACTGGAGGGGAGGTGTCCTGTCACCCGGGGGAGAGGGGACAGAAGCCGGGGAGCAGAGGGCCGTGCTCAGCCTCACCTGGCTTTGCTTTCCTGGTGCACCGCTCCCCAGGGGGGATGCCTGGAGCGTTCCTGCCACCACCAGAGCAGATGTAAAAGTCCGCTACAGGTCTGTAATGTTAATTCAATGAGGAAACTTGTTGGATTTTTACATAAAATTAGCATGATGGACTCGTAATGGATGTCTGGAGAAGACTTCATTAGCTGGCTTATTTTACGAGTTGAGATCAGATACTCGATGTAAATGACCCAAAACAGCAGTTGTACCATTCGTCGCAAGGCTGCAGATGGATGTTGCACCGGTACCAAGCGGTGTGTAAATACGCCGGTATTTATTTATATATATAAATACGCTGGGCACGTACAGAACTGTGGAGCGCACCCACGCGTCCCTCCGTGCTGAGCTAATGCCGTGTACTCCAAAGGACCTTTGCATGGGATGACGTTAAGCAGACCCTGAGCATCGCGGGATGTCCTGGGGGGGTGTCTCTTGCCCTGGAGAGGCTTGCCGGGAGAGGAGGCAGAGCTTCCCCGCTCGTATGCTCACTCAGAGGAGTCGCTCTTCGATCAGGTTCATGTTTAACGAAGCGATCTGCCCATGGACATGCTGAAACGAGCAGGTTTGTGTGACCGGGGTCGTTGGAGAGGCCCCTTCCAACACCAGCAGCTGGGACTGCTTTGACTGCCTAGAGCTTGATGATGGTGATGAAAGGGTCGAGTGTTTATGGGTAAGAATCGGGGGAATGGCCAACAAGGCAGATATCATGGTAGGAGTCTGTTGTAGACCACCCAACCAGGATGAAGAGGCAGACGAAATATTCTATAAGCAGCTGGGAGAAGTCTCACAATCGCTAGCCCTTGTTCTCATGGGGGACTTCAACTTACCAGATGTCTGCTGGAAATACAATGCAGCAGAGAGGAAACAGTCTAGGAGGTTCCTGGACTGTGTGGAAGACAACCTCCTGACACAGCTGGTGAGGGAGCCAACAAGGGAAGGTGCCCCGTTGGACCTGTTGTTTGTGAACGGAGAATGACTTGTGGGTGATGTGACGGTTGGAGGCCGTCTTGGGCATAGCGATCATGAAACGGTAGAGTTTTTGATTGTCAGAGAAGTAAGGAAGGGGCTCAGCAGAACTGCTCCCTCGGGCTTCCCGAGGGCAGACTTTAGCTTGTTTAGGAGTCTGGTTGACAGAATCCCCTGGGAGGCAGCCTTGAAGGGCAAAGGAGTCCAGGAAGGCTGGACGTTCTTCAAGTAGGAAATCGTCAAGGCGCAGGAGCAGGCCGTCCCCATGTGCTGAAAGACGAGCCAGCGGGGAAGAAGACCGGCCTGGCTGAACAGAGAGCTCTGGCTGGAGCTCAGGAGCAAAAAGAGAGTTTCCGACTTTTGGAAGAAGGGGCAGGCAACTCAGAAGGACTACAAGCATGTCGTGAGGTTATGCAGGGAGAAAATGAGAAGGGCCAAAGCCCAACTAGAACTTAATCTGGCTATTGCTGTAAAAGACAATAAAAACTGTTTCTACAAATGCATTAACAACAACAGGAGGGCTAAGGAGAATCTCCATCCTTTCATGGATGCGGGGGGAAACATGGTGACAAAGGGTAAGGAAAAGGCTGAGGTAGTGAACGCCTTCTTTGCCTCAGTCTTTAATAGTAAGACTGGTTGTTTTCCGGGTACCCAGCCCCCTGAGCTGGGAGACAGGGACAGGGAGCAGAATGAAGCCCTGGTGAGGGTCGGGGGAAGGAAAGGTCCATCTCGCCATTGCTGCTATTTAAAAGTGGGGTTTGATTTTTTGATTGCACACTCCTATCAGTAAAAAATTTTTGAGCAAACACGCCCCCGATTTGTATTTATTTGTTTACTTATTATGTATTCATTTATTTATATGTAGTAGTATTATTATGTGTCTATTTATAAATCATACATATGTCCTCCTGGACTAATACGTTAGGTACCCTATAAGACATACACAGGCAGTAGAAATTAAAAAAGTAGGCAATAAAGATGAACAATATTTGGAAACATTTTTTTTTACGTTACGCTATTAATGGTACAACCCCCCTTTTTGCTCTTGCTAAAAAAATACCGTTAATAACAACAGTGTTTTATAGTGAGGGCTCTGTGATTGCCTCCGCTTCATTAGCTTTGAAAACCTTGCTTTAGCACTTTGTGATACAGCCATCCGAAGGGCTGGTTCCAAGTCCAGTTTATTTTGATACTTGGTTTTAATGACTGTCACTGCTGAAAAAAATTCCTCACGCAGATGTGTAGGTGCAAGTGGAAGAAGTGCATCGTCGGCTGCGCTTATTAAACCCCGACACTTGGTTTTCAATCCATCCACTGCTTAGGCAAAGGGTTTTCCTGGCTGGTAAATGTCCATCTTCCCCGGCGTCAGCCAGCTGCGCTTGCAAACTAACAGGAAGGTGTTGCGTTTTGGGGTTTGGGCAAATGCTCTCTCCGTAGCACGAGTTTCTTTCAAAAAGCAGTTACTTTCTCACTCCTCGTTCAAAGGGCACATCACCTTGAAGGGGCGCCTGAAGTGTGTTTATTTTTTGGGCGGTATCTGCTTGGCAGCATACGACTGACAGCAACTGGTCATCAGCAAGTTTGCAACGCTTGTCTTTTTGTAAAGCAAAACTCCTTTAAGTTCAACAGCTCTTTTAAGCCCTTCGCCGCAAGAGAAGCAGCAAATCTCCTGCTGCTTCTCGCTGTGGTGCGAGATTTTCATGGTTGCTCCCCGTCTCCTTCCAACGTACTGTAAAGAAGCCATTTACTGTTGAGAATATACCATCTCTGCATGAGAATGTATGAATAAAATGAAAATAAATAGGAGTTCGACTATTTCCTTCCCACGTCCCGATGGATTGTCTTGCGCACCCCACTTGGGAGACCAGTGGCTTAGGAGACCTAAGCGAGGAATGATCTGGGTGTCCTCTGCTGGAGAGCGTGTTGCAAGCCCAGAAGCCTTCAACACCTCGTTCGGTACAAGTGACACCCCCCTCTCTGGATTAGCGTTTTTAACATTCATGACTTCATCAGGTATGTTTCCGTCTGTGAACCTTGCTGGGACGAGCGTTCCCGCGGTGATCTGCTTCTCAATGACTTTGTGCGGACCTGGAAAGCTCTCAGATGCTATTGAAGTTCTCCGCTTCCCGTAAGCCAAGCCACCGACTCAGCAATACCTATTTTAAAGTCATCGGGACAAGGCGTGGGATGAAATACATTTGTCTGCTGCTTCCCGGTGCCAGTTGAACTGGCTGTTGTCCTCTTCGTCTGGCGTACGGATGCTTAACATGGGAGGTGGAGCCACATACTCAGCTCTCTTACCTTGGGACCTAATTGAGGGAAACTTTTCGCGATCGGACTGTGTTCTGTAGCGCTGCGTGTTTACTGTGAACCTATGAGCTGGTGATGTAATTTCTCACGAGCACTGTCAGTTTTCTGCTGAAATGGCTGTGAAGCGTGGAGCGTCCGCCGCAGCCGGGGTTACAGGCCTGCTCTCACCAAAAAACGA